CCTTTAGCCTAGCATGGATCCTGCTGGTCTGGAGGGGTTAGCATTTTGCCTAGCATGGATCCTGCTGGTCTGGAAGGGTTAGCCTTTAGCCTAGCATGGATCCCGGCTCTCTTCCTCCTCCTTTGTTTACGGTCGTACAGCTTCCTTCTCTCTCTGGTAACTGCTGGCATTGTCTCCGATCGGACTCCGTGTGATGTCCACATCACAACGGAGCGCCGCAATTCCAGCGCTGTCCACTGTCCTGACGCCCAGCAAAGCCTCCCGGCTGTAAGTTTTGCAGAATGAACGTCTGGGACAGACAATATGTCGCTCACCCCTAGTAAACATCCTGAGTGCCTCAGACGTTTCCATGGCACTGTGTGTTTTAAAGGAGACTTCCACATAGAGGCTCTAGTTGACCCTCACTGGAGACCAGCTGTGTGTCTCTGAAGACCATGTCTTGACAGAGGGGGCTACTTGTTTTAAGTGTTGCTTAGTGGTGTGTGTTTGTGCTTCCAGGAGCTTTGCTGGCACTATACACTAAATGTGGACCAGTGCTAGACCTGGTTAGTCATGTTTGATTTACAAGACGGGCTTCAGCTGCAGTGGGTTTTATTGCCAGTGGCCTTCGGATTAATAGTTTTTCTTTAACTTATTGTCGAAAACTGGCCGTATGGGCAGCTGAAAACACTGTTTCCCTCTTTTGTCTTTCAACATTGAGTCAAGGTCAGTTGAATTTGGCTTTATTGACAAGAATCTACAAACAAAAAATACTCTTCTGTCAAGGTAGACAAGCACAAGTCAGGGCATGGATACGTAGACATTTCTAAGGTACTGAATTTCTCTTGGAATACAGTTCCAGCCATCGTTAGGGACTGGAAAGACCATGGCATGTGCATGAATCTGCCAAGAGCAGGCTGTCCTCCAAAACTAATTGACTGTGCAAGAAAGACAGTAGTGAGCGAGGTCAGCAAGATGCCTACAACAAGAGTTCCAAGCTTCAGTGGCTGAGATGGAGGAGAATGTGCATATAACACAAGTTCTTCATCAGTCCAGACTAGAGTTCAACAAATGGCATTTGGGTGACGAGTGTCAACTAGAAGAAGGTTCCTTGGTCTGATGACAGCAGCATGAAGCCTTTTGGCCATCAGCCTAGATGGCCAAAAGCCGAACATCATCACAAACACTGTCCGAACCGTGACGCATGGTGATGGCAGAATCATGATGTGAAGCACGGTGGTGGCAGCGTCGTGGTGTGAAGCACAGCGGTGGCATCGCAACGCGAAGCATGACGGTGGCAGCATCATGACTTGGAGCACGGTGGTGGCAGCATCATGACGTGAAGCATGGTGGTGGCATCGCGGCGCGAAGCATGGTGGTGGCATCACGGCACGAAGCACGGCAGTGGCAGCATCATGACGTGAAGCGCGGCGATGGCAGCACCGTGACGTGAAGCACGGTGGTGGCATCACAACACAAAGCACGGCGGTGGCAGCATCATGACGTAAAGCACGGCGGTGGCAGCGTCGTGACGTGAAGCACGGCGGTGGCAGCGTCATCACGTGAAGCACGGCGGTGGCAGTATTATGACATGAAGCGCGGCGATGGCAGTATTATGACATGAAGCACGGCGGTGGCAGTATTATGACATGAAGCGCGGCGATGGCAGTATTATGACATGAAGCACGGC